AAGACGCACCAAGATTTTGAAGAGGTAAATTTAAAAAAAAAAGGGTTTTGCTCTCCCCGGCCCCCAGGAGCATTCTGCGGGCCTCCCAAACCCTCTGCGCGTCCATTTTTTGCAAAAAACGGGATGCGCAGGGCAGAGTTTCGGGAGGCCAAAAATGCTGTATTCAGTATATAAGACACACCCAGATTTTCACCCTCTTTTGGGAGGGGGAAGGTGAGTCTTATACTCTGAAAAATAGGGTAGTTTCCCCTGCCTGAAGCGGACAAGTTTATCAAGGACTGTTCAAAAAGGCTGAACTGAAGCTGGACATTTTGGAAGTACCAGAACAAAAAATAAACAAAGAAGCATAAACCCAAGCAGCTGCATATATTTCAAAAATATTTAAAATTGTATTTCTTTTGCACAGGGGCTGCCTCAGCCCAACTCCACCTGCCATTGCTAGCAGTACAGTGTAGGTAGTTCTTGACTTACGACCATTCAGTGGCTGTTCAAACTTAGCCACAGCACTGGGGGAAAAAGTGACTTACGACCGCTTTTCATACTTTCACAACCGTTGTGGTCACGAGATCAAAATTGGAACGCCTGGCAACTGGCTCATATTTATGACAGTTGCAGTGGCCTGGGGTCATGTGACCAACAGTTGTAACCTTCTGACCAGCAAAGTCAATGGAGAAGTCGGATTCACTTAACAACCCTGTTACTAACTGAACGGCAGCAATTCACAACAACAGTGCCTGAAAGGCTGTACAGTGAGCAAACTCACTTAACTGTCTCGCTTAACAACAGCCATGTGAGGCTCAATTGTGATCATAAATCAAGGACTACCTGTATATGTTTCCAGGAAATATAATTTAGAGTTGGACTCTGCAGGTGGAAGCCATAGAGAAAGAGAGGTGGGGGGTTGGGATCCTATGCCTCTCTCTTTCTTTTCTTGAGCAGGAAAAAAAATCACAGTTGTTTTAGAAGATCATTTATTCGGGGCTTCCGTGACCCTCCTTTTTTCCACTTTGTAAAACCTCCTGCAGCATCACAAGAAGGCACCAAAGAGATTCAAATGCCCGGCCTCACCTGCCCAGCTCCGGTCCCATCAGATAGAAATCCTGCAAAGCCGATTGTCTCCGGGATCCTTCAATCCAATATTCCTCCTCCAGAGGTTTTGAAGGGAGCATCCTGGAACACAGAAGGAGGCTCTGCTTGTGCTTTCTTGTCTTTTCTATCCCCCCCCTCCACCTCTTCTTCTTCTTCTTCTTCTTCTTCCTCCTCCTCCTCCTCTGATCACATTGCAGATAGAGAATTTTTTGGGGGAGAGAGAAGGGGGCGGGGCGGGGAGAGCTTTGGAGAAGCGATTTCAAGGATTATCCAGGAGGATTCACAACCGCATGTCCAAATTTTCTTCTGCTAGAATATACGGTGATTGCAGACGGTTGCAGATTCATCGGCAGCTTCACGCTGGAGATGCTGGCATCTTCATTAGCCTCAGTGTCTCTTTAGCCTCCTTAAAAAGTGGATTTCTAAAAATCCTCAGGATTGCAGGTGAAGATGGCACCCCTCCCTCTCCAGACCTTTACCTATCTTTTTTTAAAATTCATTTCTCAGCAAATAGCTTCCTCCCTCCCTCCTCCTTTTGACACTTGGGGCTGCCTTGGAAAACCAACCCTGCAGGGTAGGTCAACTTTCCCCCTGCTTCTGTAGAGCCATAATCCACTGCCTTTCCCAGCACAGTCTTCTTGGTGGGAGGATGGGAGTTATTCCAAGGAAGGATTGCCCCAGACAGAAAAATCTCTTCTCCTGTTCTCTCTCTCTCTCTTTCCTTCCTTCCTTCCTTCCTTCCTTCCTTCCTTCCTTCCTTCCTTCCTTCCTTCCTTCCTTCAGTCCTTGCAGGAAGATGTTGGAGTGGTGAGAAGTTGGGAATCGTCAGCTCCACTCGGAGGATTCTGATCGCTCGGCTGCAGCCCAAGAGTAATCCTTTAAAGGGACGGTCGTAGATCTCTGGATCAGAAGGATGATTGGCAGATGCATCGGGGCCCAGAGGCAAGGAAGGCTGGGCCGTCAAAAGAAGTTTCCCCGGCCACAGCTGAGAATCTTTTCCCCCCGGGAGGCTCCTCCGTTCTGCTGCTGGGCGATGCTCTGGCGCTTCAGGCAGCACCACACCCGACCGAGGGAAGATCCCATGACCTCTATTGGAGGGAAGGGTGGCTTTTCTGCTCCGCCTGGCAAATCCAGTTCTTTCCTGCCCCCTAACGGATCCTGCTTTGAATTTCAAGGGCGATGGACCGGCGGCAGGAATCGATTACAGGACTGTATGGCTCTAGTCTAGTAGTTAGTTTAACGAAAAGGAGGACTGGGGACTCTCTCCCTCTCTCTCTCCCTCTCTCCCTCTCCCCCTCTTCCTCCCTCCCTCTCTCTCTCTCTCTCTCTCTCTCTCTCTCTCTCTCTCTCTCTGAGAGAGAGATGATAGCAGT